AGTCTAAACTGGCGCAGAGGAAGTGACCTGCAGCACAGATGCTGTTTGCTCTTTATCTCTTTGTCACCCAGATGTTTGTTGGCTGCAGTCTTTACCTGGAAGTGCTTTAAGTTTGGTCGACAATCAGCCTTGATTCAGGGTTGATTCAGTGGAGGCGACATTTTTACAGTTTACCTCCAGAATCAACAGTTTTACTGAGTCCAGTCTGTTCAGTGATGGAGCATCAGGAGAGGCCTGGCTGGTACAAAGACAAACATCATTTCCCTTTTAAAACTAAACAAACCTTTTTAAAGTCATTGGTTTTTAACTATGTCTGCAGTTTTCAATCATTTTCTCAGATTTTTTTCTCTCTTGGTCCCTTTTTTATCTTCTTGCATGTTGAACTTTAGCTGCTGCCTGTAAGGTTCATTTGGAAAAATGACGTATTGATTCTATCAATTTAAAGGAATGACGTCATTATAATTTATTCCTCATAGTATAAACTGATAGGATTTTTAATTGCAGTTATAAAAGGCAAATCTGCTTCATCTAAATATATTTAAGCTTAAATCAAAGTTTCCCTTTAGGTGGAAATAAGGTTTAGGTAACAAACAGCTCAACCTTGCAGAGCCTCACTTCTCTCCATCTGCAGGACAGACGGACCGACGGCAGCCATGACACCAGCAGTAACAGTGACGCACATGAAGAGCATCACTGTGATGACAGTTTGTAGACGGAGCGGTTGATTGCGGCCTCCGCTGGTGTCGGCATCTAACCGTAGAACCAGTTAGAAGTTGGTGTCAGTGGTTTGGGTGATCACAGCTTACATGTCCAGGATTACGAACATACGACTAAACCGAAACAAACGGGCTCTAAATTAGATGCAGTTCACTCGTTTAACATGAAGAGGGCGCCAAAGAGACGCTTTTAGACAAACACAAGATTCCAACAAACATCCATTAAGCGTCGAAACGATGCGGTGGAAATGTGGACAGAACTACACGACATTCATGAACAAAAAGTAGCATCTATAATGAGCTTTCTAGACCTCGGGGCTTTTTGCAGTCAAACAGGAAAAAGATGCAACAGCAGAAAAAATGGACAGATTCACTTAAAGTCTAGAGATTGAAAAACTGGAAGGAGAATCAGTTGATGTAAAAAAAACATTAAATATTAACTAGATACAGATTTAGTGATGGGTAGAAATATCAGACCACCATTGCTTTTTGTTTTTAAGGTAATGGTCATTAGGAACAGCAGACTGGGTAGACTGGTGGTCTAATGGTTTATAGTTGGTAGAGATGCAGAGTGACCAACTGCTGACCAGGTAAACTTGATTGACCCTTAATGATGATTCAAAGGTGAGTTAGAAACCTTAAAGTCCTGCGTTCAGATGAGGGAACATGTAGAACCCATGTAGGCTCTGGAACCACGTCATGCTAACAATATCTGCTGTTCCTAAACCTGGGAAGACGACTCCGTTATGATCAGTGAAATGTTTCAGACTCAGAGAACAGAGATGGAAACATCATCGTATCGCGTTCTGAAGGGAATAAAGTTATAATCTCTGAGTGGGATGGTTTATGCAGACTGATAATGGTGTCGGCGTTCATGTAAACGCTGCAGGATGGAGTCTTCCTCAGTGAGGCGAGCTGACCTCAGTGTGAATAAATCACTCAGCATCAGGATGGCGACTTTCTGCTTTGACTCACTGAATGTTCAGATCAGCAGGTTTAGGCTTATCGGACCATTCGCTCTTTTTACTATTGTCCATATAATCTTTCTTTTTTGAGTCCAAATACGTTTCAATCGGTTTGTGACATTTTTGCTCAGAAACGTGGCTGATGATTTATGCTACTTTCACACCAGATGCACGTTGAGCAGCAAAAAGGTGCCGCACAATGGC